TGGGGACTCAAAGCCTCAGCACTGCAACCAGGTGTGATCCACAGCTAGTGAGACAACACAGCTGAAGTCTGCTCACCCAGCACTCTCAAATATGGATTTTTTTTGAACTTCTTTTCTTATACTGGTTTACTATATCCTATAGACTCTAAATTCATTTTCTTCCTTCCACCTCCTTCATCCCTCAACCACACATATGCAGAACGCAGCACCTCCCAATGCAGTATGAAGTTTGTTTGAGGGTGGGGAAACATCCAGCCAAAGCAGATTCCTTGCAGATTTAAATAAAAGATCTGGCAATAGAGCAGCTGCACAAAAACTTAAAAAACCCAGCGCCTCTCTTCAAAAGACTTTCTGATTTGGAATCCATTTTATTTCAGCTTCCACAGCTGAATAAGCTAAGTAGTGAATTTTTATCTGACAAAAGGTTACTTTACTGACCTCCAGGTGGAAAGTTAGATACTTAAAATATTTTGGTGCTTATCAATTTTTTTTTCCACAGTTTGACTGAAATATATTGATTATTGGTTCACAACTAAATTCTTGACAATTTATTGCCCTCCTTCCCAAATATGCCCATTTAAAATCCATAGTATCTCACTCCCTTAAACTTCTTACCAGATGTTTCATCTCTGTTTTTTGTCTTGGATGGGCAAAGGCAGTCTGAAATCAAAACCAATACCTGAGTAAAGAGAATAAAATATGACATTAACAATACACATTTTATCCCAGCAGCACATCAGAAAAACATAATAGTGATTCAATACCATTACAAGGAAGAACTAAAGGATAAAATTTGCAGTAAAATATAGAGCATTCTCTAGAATAGGGAAAAAAAAAAAAAGGAAAGAAAGAAAGAAAGAAACCACAACACAAAACACAACGAACTATCATCTTTTCCCTGCAGTGTCAGAAAAAAAAAAAAAGATATTTCTAAAAGAAATTCAGATTTCCACTGTCAGGGACGCCGTACCAACATATAATCTAACAAATCTTTCCAGTCACTTTCTAAAAATTCAGATCCTTATTGACCAAAACAATAGTTTTGTTAGTTTACTAAGAGTCACCCCCCAGTGTTCATATTTACTAGGGAAAGCTTTCCCTAAGATTGGCTCACAGTGAGGACAGCTGTGACTGCCCTAGGCCAGCCATGCAAATGGCAGAGAGATGTTCTAACAACCACAGAGCTCTAATATTCAGGATATGAGTCCAGATGTTTTAAACTGTCTTGGGAGTTGCAGATCAGGCACATACACCTCTACAGGTAGCCCTGTAAGAACTTGACATAGGTATTAGAGAGGTTAAAGCTACATCATTTAAGGATTAGGAGAGGATACCATCTCAGGTCTACAGGTAAAACATGGTACTTTTTCCTCAATGAGGGAATACGTACAGCTGTATACACGGTACACCGCAGTGCCAAATACCTAAGATAAGAATTTTAGTTGCAGGTGTACATAAAAAGCAGCTTAAAAAAGGTCACTTGGAGTGTTTTTTTTTTCTGCCCCCTTCCCTAACCTAAATTACACTAAAGCAAAAGTTCTAAGAAAGTCTAAGGAAGTAAAATACTAAGCTCTTACCAAACCCAGGGTCAGGCCAATCAATAAGGTTGTTAAGACAAACACTGCATAGGAAACCCAAACATGAAGTCCAAGAGTGCCAGTGAGGTAGCTATGAATTTGCTGCAAATGAGAACACTTATTATAGAATCACTTATAACACCATAATTTGGCATCTAATTGAGACTTCTCATTCAAAAATATTTATACTAAAGTCTCTAAAATCCTAGTCATCCTTCAGAGCCCAATTCTATTTTCAATTCTTGTTTTAATTTTAAATTTTTAAACCTTAAAATTAAGTTTGATATTTGAACAAATTTTACAAGTTCAAATTTTAAGAACTTGAAATTTGAAAATAAAAAACAGACATTAGAATTTTTAAATTTAGAATTGAATTTTTGAAATTTTGAAGACTTGAAAAATCTACTTTTGACACTGACATTTGATATTATTTGATCTTTTGAAATATTGAGATTTGGTGTTTGGAATCTTGAAGTTTTGACTTATGACATTTGAGATTTCATATTTGAAAACTGAACACTTGTTGAAATGTGAATATTTGTATTTTTGAAAATTAAAAATTTTGAAGTTAAAATTTGGAAATTTGCTATTTTTTTTTCAGAATTATGTTGACATTTTGAAGTTTCTCTTGAAAATTAGAAATAGAAGCACTACCCCACAGTTACTTACCCGGATCCACCCAGAGAGATGGAAGAGTCCTGCCATGCCATGCATCCTAGAAAATCAAGATCAGAAGCACAGATTTTAAGCCCAATAACATTTAAAATACTTCAAACAAACGGATACTTACAGTTGTCACTAGAAATTGCAAGTAAATGAACATAATATTGGGAAAATGTAGTCAGCTCAACATACAGCTGACTAGGATAGCATAGTGACTTGAGAGATTACATTTGGGCATAATCCGTTTCCTAGCAGCATACAGCCTCGTAGTCATGTTCCCTACTATTAAATACCCTGCAAGCCTCCTGCATTTTCAGATGAAAAATAAGGATATCCTCTAAATCTCTACTTTTAATACATGCTATACAGAACACCTTGAGCCAGAACGAAATGCAGAGAATATCTAACTTTGATTCACCTTTTAAATCATGCAGACATTTTATGTTATTTCAAAACAAACTCAACCCCATGGAAATGCAAGCACTAAGACTGACTAATGTCCCTAATAAGGGCACAAGATGATGGGCTTTAAAAAAAAAAAAAAAAAAAAAAAGCTGATTACGAGGAAATTTTTCAAGTCTGTCTGCCTGTCCCACGTGACCAGAAATCACACAGTAAAGACCTACATAAATACGCCCTTCATTCCAAAACTTAGCAGATAATTGACACTTGCACAATGGTCATGGCTATACTTTTTTTTTTTTTTTTTGGATCTTCAAAGGCGATACAAACAGGCCTCAGCAGGCATGAACAAAATTGAGTGCAGATAATAAACTACTTTGAAAGGTGGGAGGTGCAAAACAGACTGCCCATAGAGATTGCTTCTGCAAATTCTACATGATTAGGGAATAAAGGTCTTGTGTCTTTATGCTGTCAATATAGAATCTTTAATGAATTATAATGCCTATATTCACTCTTAATAAAAAGAAAGTTTTACATTATAGAAGAGGGAGACTTCCATCCTGCTACAGGCTCCACAGCTTCCCATTTTCTCTCTGAAACATAACCTTGAAGATCCTCCAGTGTCCGTGAGCCTCGATATCTGCGAAATACTCCATCTTTTGCACTAAAAGCATAAATACATAACAAATCCCATAACTCTCTACTTGGTAAAAAATATTGTAACATATAAATTACATACTTGCTAGGTTTTCAATTTTCTGGGCAATATGATTTCCAATGCTTCAAAACTGTATCCATGATGGACAGTCTCAATTTTTAAACAGTATTTATAGGAAAGAAATTTACTCAATTCATTCAGGCTAAAGAAAAGACACAGATAAGAGCTTCACCAGTATCATCAGAGTTCTAAGCAATAGTCTGAATTCATATTAGAAGCCAGAGGGTTTCTTCATTTTCACCTACATTTTATAGTCGCAGTTTAAAGGTGAAAAGTACAAGTGCATAAGCACAAGTGCATATTAATACTCTATATCAATAAATTAAGAATCCCAACAGTACTGAAATTCTACATTATTACCTATGCAGTGAAAGGTATTTGCACTATTTTTCATATTATCTATATAGTCAGTTATACAAATGACGAAATAAGAAGCTTTTATAAGGTCAAATGTTTCTGATCTCATATACTCTGGTTTCTAAAAGCTCTTACTGAAACTTAGCAGTTGTTCCAAGTATTATTAAATATTTTTTTCCTCAATGAAGAAAGCATCATGTATCTGGATATAGATATAGGAAAACCTTTCAAATAATTTAAAAATATAGTTACATACTTTATGTTCATAACCATACTGAACTCCTGAGAAACGCTTCAAGATCATAAAAACTGAAATAAGCTACTTCTCCATTACATTTACCATGCTACCCTTCAGTAAACAAGAGAGGAAATAAATATGTACAGAATGGGCAACTGCTTTCACGATTATGAACTTACTGGTAAATTGTAGGCAGTGTTGTGACAAAGAAACGACCACTCAGGCCTAGAAAGAGGGGGGGGAAAAGTAAATTTAAACAAATAAAAATGAAATTTCTCAGCATTCTAAATTATCAGTAAATACCTGCTAAATACTATATTCATAGACTAAACAGTCTGCATAGTTCTTAGCTTTACTTCATATGAACATGGTTACAATTTGCCTGCAAACAGTAACAGATTCTAACTACTGCTGCCATGTTAAGGGAAAATGCTTGTCTTGAAGAAATGCTTACTATGGAATGATTTTTCTGCACAGATCTCACCCATGATGCATATTTGCACACACTTGAAATTTGACTACATCTACAGTGTGCCCCTCCAATCAAAAGGAATACCACATAAATGCACTCATTCTACCTATTTTCACATTTTGCATGAGACTGAAATCTATTCAGGTAACATCTCAAAGAATTAATTGTTATGAACCTTTATCAGTGACTAATCTCATATAGGTGATCACTGTTTAATTGAGAAAGCTGGGCTACTTCAGGTGATTTTACCCCCAGCTCTCAGAATCTGGTCCCTGATTTTAACTCATCCCGACTGATGTGAAACTATTCAGAGGATTGTACTTCCTATTTCAGGCACTCTGAAGTCACACAAAGCAGACAGAAAATTTATTTCCATATTTGCTTGCTTGATTCTTCCAAATAATTCAACCAGCCTGTTTGATATGCTGTAGAAAAACAGTCTCCCCCTTCAAACATGATTGTGGTTAGAAGATGATGTTTTAGATTCTAGGTTCTCATTCTTCATTCCCTTATCTCATTTTCCTCTAGGTGAGCAAAAAAAGAATGCCAACAGCTTGCTAGTAAAGCTTGGAAAGTTTTAGCATTCTGTTTTGCAAAATACTGCAAAATTAGTCATGAGATACAGTTTTTTCATCACCTAAAATGTGGTGTCATGTCAGCATTTTGAGCCCTACACCAAAGGTGGCAGAAAGGACAAAGGAAGATGAAGCAGGGCTTCATGAGGCTAAGTGATTCCCACACCAGGAGCTGTGGTGGCTGCTGTCCCACCGACTGGGAAATAAGTTTCTTCACAAGTATCAATTTACCAGGGACAGGGTAATTCAGCTCACAGGGCAAGGAAATTCTCTAAATTATAAAGAAAAATAAAAATGTGAGTGGTGATGTCTGAACTCCTCTAGTCTTCCATTCAGTTCTACTACAAAGTAATAACTGAAAGGACTTCCAGCATCACTGCTGTGTTTGGTACCCCAGTGAAACATCCCCATTTCTGGTCTCAATATGCTGAATGTTTCAATAGTAGCAACAAAGGGGAAACTATGCACATGAAGACTGGCAAAGGACTTCCAGCATCACTGCTGTGTTGGTACCGCAGTGAAACATCCACATTTCTGGTTTCAATATGCTGAATGTTTCAACAGTAGCAACAAAGGGGAAAACTATGCACATTAAGACTGGTAAGTAAAGTGATTGGAGTGTGCTGTAATTCTATAAAGGCTCTGCTAGCCCTGTAATCCTCCATTCTTTGGCATGTGCTGTAATTAAGAACCATGAATGGCAACTTTTTCCTCCAGGTTTTAGAAGTGCAATTTCATGCAACTATACATACATCCAAAGTATGTAGTGCAATTTGACTACATTGATTTTGATTACATTGATTTTGATGAAGGTGTTAAATTACCAAAGCTAATTAAGGGACCATCCAGTAGATTTTAAAAATAAATAAATAAGGGATGGAGCACTGAGAGTACATCAAGGAGAAGGCTGAAGCATAGAACTGCAGTGAAAAATATCCCAAAGAACTTGGAAATACTTCTAAAGAGCTCAAACACCTTAAAAATGCATCAAAAGGTTAAATGAGTAATAAATACTTGTTTTCCAGTTTGTTTCACTAGTTTCACAAGTGGACACAGTTGACAGTGGATAGAGCGGATACAGATATCTCATATGGAAGTAGATATTGTAGCACTGTTGGGCCTGCTTTGCTACCACTGTGAATCCATCGCTTGGTCAGCCCTTTGACTTGCAGAAGTCAAACACCCTTGGAGGTTTTAAAATCTAATATTGATGAGAATTTGCAATCTAAGAAGACTTCTAGTTAAGAGATATTTAAGTGTTCATAATTATGATACTCAGTAGTCAGAGTTCAGACAAAAACAAAGAAATGAAAGAAATAGTCCCTTACCCTACCAGGTCCCAGTACTTCTATTCAAGGTCTTTACCAGAAGGAAGACTTTTAAGAACTTCTATATTCTGTTTTTATGGCCTCACTGCTGATAGAGCATTTTTAGGTTAGTCACACCTAAAAGCAGCAATCAAGGCTAAGACCTTATTTGTTCAACACTACGTAAGGTACTCTTTTGGCTATCTGATAAATGAGACAAGATAATGGGATGGGTTTATAATGTATCCCCAAACACAGCCTTAACCAGCAGTCAAGAACACCACAATAAGCACTCTGATTTTGTCAGCATGAAGCAACAGAAGTTGGCTTAAATTAAGTTTATTCTGCACAAAAAGCTCCAATGTTCAAAATCCTCTGTTTATTAAGCTGTTAATGATTAGTATATGCACTAAAGAGGTCCACATCAAGAGCTCTTTGCCATCAAAAGTTTTGTATACCTGCAAACATTTAACAAAACATGAAACAACTTTAGGTCTGGAACAATTGACATTTCTTATGAATTTAAGCTGTGACCTCAGGCTCTGAATTGTAAATCATCCCTTTGCTATTAACTTTATCAGGTTAACTTACTTGGAAAACCACATTTTTGAATAATAAGGGAAGATTTGCACATGTTTCAAAAGGTTTAAAGAAAAAAAGGCCAAGTTTTGCCTTTTTAATTCTAGTAACATTTCTCCCCACCTCTGTCAAAAAAAAAAAAAAAACCCACACATGGATACAAATGTTCATCCCCTCAAAACCAAAATAAACATGAAGTATTCCGAAAACATGTAGCAGTTTAAACAGTCTTAGTATTGCTTAAACACGCATTCAAAACTCTGAAAGGAGTCACTAAAGATAAGGCTGCTTCCTACCTATGCACATAAGCGCAAATACAGTGGTTGAAGTCATTTCTGCATATACACTTCTCCCACAACAAAAATGTCATATGCACTATTACAATTAAACAAGACAATTAGCCAGCACCATAGTGAAAACAATTAAATGAAATGAACTTAAAGATGACTCACACCATAGTATTACTACCACACCCTGAAAATCTCAGGGACTTCAAGCTAGGAACAGGATATAGCTGTGGGGAGAACAAAGAATGAGACAGACAACAGCTTTCTGTGAAGCAGATTAAAATCAAAAATAAGCCCCTTTTAGCACAGCAATATGTTGGATCACTCATCTTTTTTTTTTTTTTAATTTTACAATTAAGTTTATAACTCCTATGCTCACAGTTGCGAGCTACATGAAGTGAAATGTGGATAAAATCATCGGAGTTCCTGGGATATCAGCCAAGACAGAAATGAGCTTTTTTAAAAAAAAAAAAAAAATAGAATGCAGCACAGTCCCAGGTGCTACTTAAATTGAATATTTTATTAAAACACAGTCTATTTCACACATACCTGGTTCTTGACTGACATCCACCTTTCCCACAGTGATATCTAGAGGTTCACTTTCCTTTGCAAAAGTCTCCCATGTCAATTCAATTTGCTGACAAGCTGGACACCAAGGAGCATAGCTAATGGAGGAAGCAGGTTAAATATATTAGTATTCTTATCCTTATATGCATTCAAATTGATTTACCACACAGAGAAAATACCAAAGAATCAATCACAGAAAAACTGCAGTCCTTAATCAAGTCTATTGAGTAGGACGATCAAATAGCTTTCCATCAATCCCTACATACGTTCCTCATGTTATTAAAAACAAATCCCCATACTTGAAAAATTCATAACCAAATCCCTCACCACTCAGAATGTATAATTTACTATATTTACATAGAAAAATGGATCAATTTACCCAGCGGCTCTTTGAATTACTGAACCCAGGCTGTCCTGGCATCCCTCAATGTAACATTTCATATTGATTCCACACACCTCCGAATTTCTGGAAATAATAGTTGCTTTATCCCACTACTCAATACATCAAAACATGCCCCTTTTGATTGCACTCTTCAGTGATTTAAAGGTTCAAGTCAAATTTCTAGTGCCCATTCCATGTCTCTTCCAAGCTTCCTTTACTGTCATGATTAATTTGTAGGGGGAGAGCAGCATGCTTTAAAAGTTGAATTTCCAATACTAACATCTGGAATATCAAAAAAAGCCGCAGTTACTACTGACAACATAAACACAAAGGAAAGAACTGATTTAGAAAGGGTAATACAGAATAATAAGAAAAACTATGAGTGTTCATGGTGACCACATAGAAAGCTATAACCTCAGATCTCCTGAACAGGAGCAGCCTTAATCAAATTAGAGATACCAGATCTTGAAAAGAAATAATCAAGGAGATGCTTTTGCAGAATTGGGAGCAAGAGAGAAGAACCACGGTCTACAAACACCTCCTAATGGCTTTCTGGCACTTGAGATATCCATACCTAGCATCCAGCTTGGACAAAAATAAGTGAAAACAACTAATCCCTCAGATGAGAACATTACCCGTGGTACAGTCTACGGTAATTTTGAAACCGAAGTAAGTATTTCTACATGAGAACCTGTATCCTTTTAAGTTCTAAATGATGAAGTCAAAAACAGGCATTGCATTTTACAGAATAAAAGCTACAGATATATGATTTCAGAATGAAAATTAACACAGTAGCTTGTGAAACAGTGCCATTGTGCATTACAGCATTCAGAAAAAAACATGGGCCTTATCCTGCCTGTGAAACAGTGCCATTGTGCATTACAGCACCCATTTTTTTTTTCTAAAAACATGGGCCTTATCCTGCCTAGAAACAAACCTTCAGTAGCTTTCTAAAATATACTGGAAGTATACTGGAAATATCACATGCAGAACTGCTGTTTTGTATTATGCTGCCTACAGAGGTTTTTTTTAATACTAGCTTGACAGAATCTGTATATTAAAATAGACCAACAGTTTGTAACAATAGCTTGACTGATAGTTAAAAACTGCATGACTGACAGATAATGCTGCTGCTCTTTCTGTAATACAGACATAATTAGGAATTTATTCTAAACGCAGCTCCTCTAGATGTGCCACACTCATGTCATAGGATTTCCAAGATTAAAGAATCCTTTAGCCTATTTAAAGTAACATCTGACCTTAAAATGCAAATGTCAACATGCATGTTTTAATTTCATATTTATAAGAATTCTTTCTAAATGACTTAAAGTGGAAAATTGAATGCCAACATGGCCAGGATAATATCAAACAATTAGAATCACCTTTCTTTAGCCCAAAGACATGTTAAACTTCACTTAAGCCACAATTCAGTAATGACAGAACTTAGTTTAGCTTCCTGGTTTTTATACTAATATCAGAAATAGGATGGAAGTACAAGATCCAGTCATTCCAGCCAAACATTGCCATTATTTGCACTCAGTCGTGTTCGTTAATTCAGCGCACTAAGCGGCGCCCATCACACTGAGCTTCACTGGATCAACAGAAAGACCAGAAGCCTGGATGCCCTAGACTGATTAAGGGGGAGGAGGGATATTCTTCTACTGTTCCTGGTCATTACGTGTGCTAGGACTTTTTTTTTTCCACTCCTCCCAAACAAACATATAACAAAATAAAGGCATTGTCTGATTCTTTGGGTGTTATCTTAAGACTATCATCTGATTCATACCTGTTCTTGAAAAAAACAAAAAACAGAAAATTTAGATGAAAGACTGGTGGTATTCTAACTGATAAGGTAGGTTTCAGATAAAAACAAACAAAAATGTACAACTGATTAAGTGAGAGGGTGCTAGTCAAAGATTCACCCTTTAGTCCTTGTAATCTACCAATAACCCTATCACAACAGAACAGATGTTGAAGGCTGACACAGGACGTTTCTTCCAGTGCCACCTGCCCCCTCATTCCCACTTTAGCACAAACAGAAGTTCCCAGTGGATGCTCCACACCAGTGGAGTGGTGGTAAAAGTTTCAAAATTGCTGAAACTCTAGAGATTTTGAAGATCAAAGAGGAAAGAAATTCTTAGTTTTCTTCTGATTCCCCTCCAAACACACAAGTGCCTCCAAATTGCAGGCCTGCCTGAGGAGTTTTGCTAGATACTAAATAACTCATACTCCTACAAATCCATTTCCGAGATTCAACATTTCACTAATGAACTGCTATACTATGTCAAAGCATTAACAACATCTCACTAAAGTTTACCAAGAGACCATTTTAAGAGTCACAGCCCCACTTTGACTTTTGTTACTACTTTGGTCATTTGCTGTAGCCCAAACAAGCCCAAAACCAAAGCCAATTTGCACAAGCTATCACAAAAGTTCACAAAGCTAAAGCTGGAACTAACCACAGCCACAGGGCGACTGGACTGGCAACATACTGAGGCACAGTCTAGAACAAATGCTTTAGAGCTGCCACCTTGACCTGTAATTTTGTAAATCCCCACTGTATTATTTTTAACTTGATACACATAGATTTTTTAAATAATACATTGGTCAAGGGGATAGTAAATGTATACTATGGATGTTCTATAATCCAATTGCATCCTTTAAGACAATATTTGGAACACTGCTTTTTACTTATTTTAGAGACCAGTAAAGAAACATTTTAATATTACAAGAACAAGAAGAGAAAGCCAAAAGTAATTCCTTCTGGAATAAGCAAAACGAATAAACAAGAGGAAAAAAACTGCCATATGCAATTCAGAAAACCTTTCCATGTGCCACCAAAGGAGTTTTAAGCTTGAGTAGTGATTTATAAGATCACTTAAAAACGATTAAAGATGTTCCAAGACATCAGCAAATTAAGTTCCATCGTTCTATATACTTTCATCCTCCCTACAATAGTAAAGCAGCTGCTAAAAGGGGTATTTCAGTTTAACATTTTATCATTTTCTGATCAGCCAATATGCAGCACAGTAGTTGGCCATATGTTCAGTTATCAATTAACAGGAGTTCACACTTCATTTGTTCACTTCCTCTAAATTCTGCCAGAACATCTACAGAAACTTTGCAAACAGACCAGTTTTAGCAACTTGAATATTCCCTCCATTGACCCCCCTCCCTTTTATTAATTGGGCAAAAGAAAACTGACCACTAACAAATCAAGATGGAAATAAGTCTACACTCTTACAAGCTACAGTCAGAAGATTCCTCAACCTCACTGAGCTCTAAATCTAAATTACAGTAAAAGTTAAATAACCTGTAGAATTATTTATGGATCAGCTTATTTACACAAGCTGTTTAGAGCCAAAGTGCTTAAAAGCACTAATCCCATGTAAACACCAAAACATTCGGCTAGATTTTCAGTCTACTCCTTTGAAACTCAAGACAAACATGGTAGTGGGACTTAACAAGTGCTGAAGCATTGTGACAAGTCTGGCCAAATAGCTAGCACAGAACGATGTTCAGCTATAAATACTAGTGAGTAAAGTAGGATCCAGGGCAATAAAGTCATAGGCGAGGCAATAGCCTCTTCCCCAATCAGAAACTCTACTCAAAGCAATGCAAATTCAACACTAAAACTGAACAACAAGCCTCAAAGAAGCATTTAGAAGGAGCATGAGTTCAGATGTTGATGGTGCATATCCTGTTTCACAGGCTCCCTGATCTCACACCCATTGAGACACTAAGTCTTCAAACAAGCTACTGAGCTCCCACATCTTTTAGGAAGTCTGGAGGACAACAGCTAAATAACAACCACATTTTGGCCATCTACCATAACTCAGGGCAGCACCTAAAGAAAATGCAGCTTGTCTTTACTGTGACAAATATTCTTCCAGAAACTTTTTTCTCCTTCATCTTCGAGTATGATCACATGGGATGCTATCATGGTTTTGTTAGTATGACTACTTAATCTGATTAAAACTGTCACAACACTTCCAAAGCTGCCCACGTGCCACAGAAAAAGCAAAACATTTCACAGCTGCACAGCACACCAATTCCATGTGAACATACAACTGTCCAAATTATTTCTCACTGCTCTATTAAAAACATCTCAGGTTTCTTTTTCCCCTTGTGAACACAAACAAGCGAGTTGCCTTCAATACAATGCAGCACGTGCACTTCACAAGCAGCATTACACCACAAGGGAAACCAGAATATCTGTGAAATTATTTAAACTTCTGTCCCTACAAGCTGAGGTGAAACCCTCCCTAGGTGCCATCAGGACAGACACCTGGAGCGCATGGCACCCCCAGACTCAGCCTGGTGCAAAACGCTGCCAAAGCCGCAGCTAGGTGAGAGCTGGGGCTACGCTGCCCAGCGTGACCCCACAGGGAGTAACCAGCGCACAGAGCCACCGAAATCCTGGTTAAGCCACTGCCAGGCCTGCTGGCACTCGAGTGCCCTCTGCCAACGCCTCCAGACGAAAAGCTGAGGGGAAAGACACTAACTAGAGCATCGCGCTGCTAAAAGAGGCTCCGGGGAGGCCTGCAGGGCCG